GTGCTCAGAGGCAGCACCTCCCCTTCCCAGCACAGGAGACAGAGGCTGAAAGCACAAACCTCCACACCCACATTGCCAGGTGATGCTCCAACAGGAACAGATTTGCAGAGGGAAACAGTGCTATGAACCGGGCACCCAATTTCAGGGGCTTTATGTGGGATGAGCTGCAGCTGATCCACGAACCAACCACCCCTCAGCACCTGCAGGTCATCAAATGTGCTGCTCTAACACAGCTCTGTCCAGCAGCACCCAAAGGAAACCCACTTTCCTTGCTCCAAGACCACCCAACAACACCGAGCAATGCGTGGTGAGAGCAGGGATAACTGGGATAACAGATTTCCAAAGGGCTTTCCTGATCTGAACCAACACTGAGGGATCTGCACTTATTAAACCTCAGGAGTTTCACCTGTCACTGCTGCTCTCAGTAAAAACTCAGAGCATGGGGGATTTTTCAAAGATCTCTCAGAGTTCAGCTGCGGAAATAGGAACAGAATCTCAACTTTCACTGGTATCAGCAATTAATAGGACCATGTTTCCTCATAAAACGGGCCAGATGTTGCAAAAATAAGGACAGCCAAAGGAGAAGAACAAACAAATAAAGGCTGACAAGACAAATACACAGCGAGCATCTTCTCTGTCTCTGTGTGCCAAATCATCTGCAGATCATCAAAAATTACTGCCCTTTGAGAAGTGGTCCAGAGATATACAGCCCACAGATCAGGCTCAGGGCAAAAGGCCAACAGAAAGGACAGAGCTGGTGAGAGGAATTGTGGAAACTGTCTGTGTGCAGATACAATTTATGCTCCCGGGGGCTGGTTTTTATTTTGTTTGGGTTGTGGGGTTTTTTTGGGAGGTGTGTGTGTATCTGTTTGGGTTTTGCTCTGGGGGTTCCACTTTTGAACAGATACCTCCAAGTTATACACAGGAAAATATACTTAAAGCAGCTGCCTCGTTAATGTATCTTTACTAAGTTCCCATTTCAGAAGATTTCATGCTGACTTTTAAGCTGCACAGTCACCATAAACAGTCCCAGACCTCCATGGAATTAATTTCTCCATCTCAGGCTTACAGAGACATTAGTTAATGTAAACTGTAGTATATGACTAATAAATATAAAGAGCACAAAGGAAAACACCCACATTGTTCAAACTGTGGTCTGTAATATCCCATCTTACCACAAAAACGATAATGAGACAAGAGAAACAGTTCTGGAAGAGAGAGGGGAACTTGCTTTGTATCTTGTCCACACTTTGGCAAAAACATTTCCAAGTAAGGAAGACAGAAATCATTTTTAGAAGAAGCAACACAGCAGTGTGATAGATTTTTTCTTAATTTTTTTTTTGTTGTTGCTGTCATTAAAAAGGAAAATGAAGACTGTAAAATGGACAAGAAACTGTTGGTATGGGATACACAACCATCAGGATGGAAAACTAAGAACTAAGCCTCGATTCATACAGAAAAAAGGAATAAACTGTGCTGCTTCCCCTATAAATATGTTCTATCACTGCTGAGGATGTGCTGCATGTCAACCAGGTCACAGGTGTTCTGAGTTTTCATTTGTTCAAATCTTCAGACCACAGACAGAGCACTGAAAATTAGTTTCTTGACCACATCTCTACAGAGACTCTTAATAAAACATTTTCAATGAAAATACATGTTTTAAAAAAAAGGTGACATCAGTGGGTTCTTTGGGCTTTTTGTTGTAGCAGAGAGGTCAAGAACTAGTGGGTGAAAACAAACAATACAGAGGAAATGAATTCTGGCTTGATGTGACAATGTTACATTATCTGTACAGTAAAAACTCATAAAATCCTCCCATTTCCACTTTTACTGAAGGAATCCCTGTCATTGCCTGCCCAGCCCAGACCCAGCAGCGTGTTGGGAAACACACCCAGCATGGACCAGGCTATTCCAAAACCTTAGCACAGGGATGTGGGCTAGAATTCAACAATCAGAGGAAAATTGCCTGGAAATAAACGGAGGGAAGACAGGACAAAACAGTGGAAAGAGCAAGAGTTGCACAGACTAGTGAAACATAATGATCTGCTTTAATTGATTTCTCTGATTTTTATTCATGTAAATTAGAAAACTAATGAGAAACTCTTCCTTAGCTCCTTATTATCCTTAAGCCAAATGTATTTCAAAGCTGAACTACAGCAGAATATTGCACTTTGGGGAACCATCTAAAAGAGGGAAAACTTGCTGTTAATAATGACAAATTTTAACCATTTAGGAGAGAATTAACAACAGGCCCTTAATCAGGAACACGAGTTGATCACATTTATGTTACTGTAACTAAAAATATTCTTGCCCTGAGGAATTTGCTGAGCCTTCAGTGCTAAACTTAAAACAACCTCTAAACATACATAAATACATGTTCTACAATATGCATTCTTCGTATCTTAGTGAGTTTCTATTTGTTGTGGTCTGTTCACCAGGAAAACATCTCTTACAAATCAAACAGAAAGAAAAGCATAGGTTACACTCTGAGTACAACAATCAGTATCAAAAGGCTGATGAAGCCAAAATTTAACTTAATTGCTTGCTTAATTTAAAGTCTGCTTTCTTAGGGGAACTTTCATACCATGGCAGATTGAAAAAGGTTTAAATTATTCTATTTTTCACGTTCCTCTTGCAGCATTTCCAGGTGCACATCAGAGCAAAGCTCCCAGAGTTACAGACAGCTTGCTGGCCTGCTTGACAATGTAAGAAAATCAGAGCCCTAACTTCCTGAAATAATCCTGCCATCATGTTTGCACTGCCACAAAGACAATCAACAGCAACCAGCAAGAAAAAACCAACAGAATGAGAACTCCTGTTTCAAAAGCACAATATTTTGGAATAGTTCATGTTTCTGTAAATCAACAATAAAACCACAGATATCAAACAGCAAAATGCTTCCTAATAACAGGAGGCAACAAAAATGTGACAAAGGTTGGAAAAGAGCTCCCAGCCCATCGAGTCCAACCTGTGCCCAATGCCCACCTTGTCCCCAGCCCAGAGCACTGAGTGCCACGTCCTGGCATTCCTTGGACACCTCCAGGGATGGGGACTCCACCACCTTCCCTGGGCAGCCCCTTCCAATGCCTGACCACCCTTTCAGTGAGGAAATTCCTCCTGAATCCTATCCCTAGGAGACAGTTAATCCTCCCAAACTCTTTCAAATTCATTTCCAAATTCACACATGAGCAAAGACAGACATTTCCCACTATTTATCATCCCCAACTCCCTCTCCAAAACACTTCTTTCCATTAATGCAGCAGAGTTCTGCCTCCTGTCCATGAAATAACACCTCACAACTCCTGGCTGTAAACCTGAGCAGCCATTCTGAGTGTGTTTTTGGTAGTCTATACAGCAGTCACATTAAAATAAAACACACACATTAAGAAAGACAAACTACTTTGGACGGGGACTGTCTCTTGCTGAGCATTTGTGTGGTAATAATGCAACTGCACCCTGAGCCTCTCTGCCACATTCAGGGCATTAAAACCATGGCAAAATTTAATTTATTGTCTTTTGCAAATTCATAGGGATCCCATAAGAATAAGGGGGTGGAAAAGAGTTTCAGCACTCAACCTGAGCCACGAGCTCTCAGCTGGGAGACAGGAGAGAGTCAGCACTGTGCAATCTGCAGGAGTCAAGCTACAGAACTGTACAATTTAAATGCAGCCCCAATTATTTTCTGTACACCAATGGAAATCCCTAATGAACCTCTAAATAATTCCTGAACTAGGAAACACTGAGCTATCCTGAGTGGGACTGAGGAAATGCCATTCCACTGGGGACCGAGCACTATGTGGATGTCATGGGTGGCAAAAAACTGGAGGATAGCTACAAAATTAAATATTAACATATGAGGCACAGAGCAAACTGCATACAAGATCCATGGCAAAATCCTGGATGTGTGCTTACCTCAATCAGGCAGGTAAAGCTTTCATTACATGTGTTTGCAAGTCTCTACTTGCAGAAAGAAAACTATTTATTGCAACATCTTTAAAAGGCACCCGTCTTTCACATCCACTTTCTCAGAGGTTTAATCTCAAGAAGTATCAGCTAACATCAAGTTTCACAAAAATACCACAGACTCCATGATTTCACTAAGTACAAGCAACATTCAGGATAGTCAATTGTGCTCTAAGGCAACAGCAAACACCCATTAAAAATGCCATGGGAAAGACAAGGGAAAGGCTGGATAATGAGTACACAGTGTGCAGGTGATATGACAGGGAAGGTGGGGAAGAGAAGGACAACAAAAAGCCTCATCCTAATTAAGTAAACATACGACAAAGAACAAAACCTGCAAGAGTTGGGTGTGGTTAGTTTATGATTAAATGCTAAATAACGACAAGAATTTGGCAAAAATACAGACTAGGTGAGAGCAGAGCATACACAGTTATCTTACACTGCAGCAGCTTTCCATTTCTCAAGGTTAGCAGATTTTATTAAATCAGTGATTTTACACAGGTGGATATTTTTTTTTGTAATTGAGTATTATATAACACAGAAAAATGCTGCTTGTCCTAACATGTAGCTCAAGCCAAAGGTCCTCCCAAACATGCACTGTATGAAAATGAAAGCCAGGGACTCTGGGTTATGAAAAGAAGCCATATGACTAAAAAGTGATTCCATTTTCCCAAACGCCCACACAGACAAGAGCTTCTGATGTGAAAAATGGTCTCTGCAAAAGCTAAATTGCACAGACTATTCTCATGAAAAGTTGGAATCATGCAGATTACACTACATTTACCACGATGAGATTCAAAAAAAAACCCACCAACTTTTTATGTTACTACAGTATGAACAGTTACTTGACTGTTCAATGTCTATGATAGAAATATCAATAATTATTTAACTGAAAAATTGCCTTGTTTTAGAATTTACACAAAGATGCTTGCTTAGTTTTTTCCAGGCTTCTTTCCCTCTTGCTGCAGGCGATTTTTGGGTACCTTCAAAATGAGCTGCAACAACATGTGTGTGCCAGCAAAGCAGCTGTGGCTTACCTTGGCACTGGAATCCTTGTTTCCCAAATCCCCTGCATAAAGAAGAAAGAAAAAAAAAACCTTAGTATGTTTAGTTATAATTTCTACCCAAATATCTATAAAAACATAAAAATGGCTTCATATTAAATTACTTCAGGTTTTGCTACGACAGCAACAGATTTTCAAATACACAACACAGACCAGCCCACCCATTTCAAAGCAGAGAACAATAGCTGTCACCAGCTATGTAATTTCAGCTTCTGGCAACAATTTTTTTATTATTATTATTTTACAAGCTATTTTGGATCTACAATTATCATCATCTGTGATTACTGCATAATATTTCAACTCCTTTCACGCCACATGTATACTTAACAGCAAGGTAAAATTGTCCAAGTTCCAGCAAAGGCGTATAAAACAAACCACACTTGGTTTTTCATCCCAATTTTTGGATTGCATACTGGTGTTATGTGCCTCAGCCAGACTCCAGTCGTTTGCTGTATGGAAAGCAGGCAGGCTAAAGGTTTTGCTTGCTCCAATGGAAATGAGGAGACAGGCCCATGATTTTCATACTGATTATTTGTCCAGCTTTCTTGCTCCATTTCCATAAAACCCCACAAATGTGCGTGTAACACTTCACCAATGACCACGGTGTCCAGAGGTCCAACATTTATCACACCCCTGGCAAATCACCCTGCTGCTGCCTTTATTTATTTGTTGATCTTTAAGCATTCAACATCCTCTCTCCACAAAAATAACTGTTTTGAGTATCTTCCTTATAAACATTTCCCTGCCTTTCCCCCCCCCTCTTTGCAGAATGTTTCTCAGCTGGAGCTGCTCACACTCAGAGACAAACAGACAAAAGCCAGGAGCTGGAGAAGCTGTGTGCAATTAACAGCATGGGGTTTAATTATCAGCTTTATGGAAATGGCTTTTTTTAAAAAAAAAAAAAAATATAGACACGATTTCTCCACTATTTATTTATTTATTTAGCGAAGAGACAAAACATTTACTGCACCGTTACTTCAGGTGGAAGCTGAAATTACACAGCTCAGAGCGTTCCTCTGCACATTTCTATGCACAGGTCTTTAACTGCTGTTGCTACAAGCAAGCCCAAACCAAGAAAACCAGAAGAAATCTCAAATTATTTGTTTACTTGGCAGCACACGTGCCTGTACTGTCACTCTGATGCTGTTATCTCTCGTCTTCACAAAACTCAAAAAAAAGCCTGTACTGGAAGCGTGGGAATGCAATCGCAGGAAAGCTGATGGCAGGACTAAGAACACGAAACAGACTTTAGATTTATTTTTTTTTTATCCTTTTAAACAGACTTATTTGTAAAGAAAATTCCTGCGTTATCTACTCCAGAAGCACAGGCACCCCTCAGTGTTTGAGCTGAATTCGTGCAGAGTTGCAGCCCGCTCCAATCCCGGAGCAGTTACTATGTATTTTAAGTAAAAGGACTTTTTAAAAGTATCAAGAATGCAGAAACAAAGTAGAGAGGTGAAAATTGCTTCCGAGGATAAGGAGGCACTAAACTATTTCAGTAAATATCTCATCTAAGGAAAAAAACCATTTGCATAGTTCATTCTTTATACCTCAAAACATATGTTAATTGACACA